CAAAAAAATGAAAATTGGAACAATTGAGAAATCAGAAAATGAAAAAATTGAAAAACTAAAAAAACGGAAAATTGAGATCAAAAAATGAAAAAATTGAAAAACTAAAAACAGAAAATTGGAAGAAGTAAACATTGAAAAATTTAAAAACTGAATTAAAAAATCGAAAAATGTACAAAAAAAAAACAAAAATTGAAAATTGGGAAAATTAAAAAAAATAATTGAAAAATCGGAAAAGTGATACATGGAAAAATTAATAAACTAAAAATTGAAAATTGAAGAATTGAAACTTCTAAAAATTAAAAATCGCAAATTGAAAAATTGAAAAATTTAAAATTACACAAAATTAAAACTGAGAATTCTAAAAATAAAAAATCGAAGTGAAATATTGAAAAACTGAAAAATCAAAAATTGAAAGGATGAACATTTGAAAATTGGAAAAGAAAAATCAAAAAAATGGAAAATCTAAAAATTGAAAATTTTGAAAATCCATACTTTGATAAACTAAAATTATGATACTTGAAAATTGAAATCTCTAAAAATTAAAATGTCAAAAAAGTGAAAACCGGAAAAATCTAAAATTAAGAAAAACGGAATAAGCGAAAAATCAAAAACTGAGAAATCGAAAAATTGGAAAGTGGCCAAATCGAAAAAAAAAATGGAAAAAGTAAAAAAATCGAAAATTGGAAAATCGAAAATTGGAAAATCAAAAAATTGGAAAAAAGGATTGAATAATTCAAAAACTGAATTATAAAGCAGAAAAATGCACTGAAAAAAAAAACAAAAATAGAAAATTCGAAAAATGGAATAAATAAATAAATAAATAAAAAGTTAAAAATACCTGAAACCTGAAAAAGTGAAAAATTCCAAAATCGAATTATTATAAAAACGAAAATCTATTGATCAAAAATCCAAAAATTGAAAGATTTAAAATTAAACAAAATAAAAATTGAAAATTCTAAAAATAAAAAAATCGGGCTGAATAACTGAAAAATCGAAATGTGAAAAAATCGGAAAACTGGAAAATAAAAAAAATAGAAAAAGGAAGGATTGAAAAATTCAAACACTGAAATAAAAAATCGAAGAATGTATTAAAAAACAAAAATTGAAAAATCGGAAAAATGAAATATTGAAAAATTGAAAAATTAAAAATTCTAGAAATTAAAAAATAGAAAATGTGAAATACGGAGAAATCGAAGTGATTGAAATTTTGATTAATTGAAAAAATTAAAAATTGAAATACTTTTAATCACGTTCAATGTAACAGTTTCAAGTTTTAAAAAAGTTGGCTAAAAAAAATTCTGCTGATTCCAAAAATATAAAAATGACAACTCTAAAAATTAAAGAATCGACGAAAGTGAAAGACCAAAAAATCGAAAACTCAAAAATTGAGAATTCAAAAGCTTGAAAAATTGATATTTCGAAAAAGTGAAAAATTTAAAATCCTAAAAATTGATACAGCGAAAAAATGAAGTACGGAAAAACTGAACAAACAAAAATTGAGTAATCGAAAAATTGAAAAACTAACAAATCGAAAATCTCATTAAAAAAATCGAAAAAATAAAAAATGGAATAATTGAAAAAAATTAAAAATCGAAAAAAGAAGTTAAAAATAGAAAAACTGAATAATATAAAATTAGAAAAATGAATATTAAAAAATTAAAAAGTCAGAAAATGTTCAAATACTGAAAATCCTAAATTAAAAAATTGAAAAATGGGAATACGAAAAATAAAAAATTGAGAACACGAAAAAATCAAGTAATTGAAAAATTGAAAGGATGAAAATCTGAAAACTGGAATAAAAAATCAAAAAAATGAAAAAATCGAAAAATCAAAAATTGAGAAATCGAAAAAATAAAAAAAAAATTAAAATTGGAACAATTGAGAAATCAAAAAATGAAAAAATTGAAAAACTGCATTAAAAAATCGAAAAATGTATGAAAGAAAAACAAAAATTGAAAATTGGGAAAATTCAAAAATAAAAATTTGAAAAATCGTAATCATTGAAAAATTAAGAAACTAAAAATTGAAAATTGAAGAATTGAAACTTCTAAGAATTAAAAAAAATTTGAAATTCGGACAAACCGAAAAATCAAAAATTAAGTGATTGAAATTTTGACAAAATGAAAAAATAATTGAAACCTGAGAAAATTAAAAAAATGAAGAATCGAAAAATGGAATAATTAAAACTTAAAAAATTTCAAAATCGAATAATTAAAAAGTCGAAAAATCCAATGATTAAAATCCAAAAACTGAAAATCTAAAAAATCGAAAAATTTGAAAATCCAAAATTTAAGAAACCTAAATTATGATAATTAAAAATTGAAAACTCTTAAAATTAAAATTTGGAAAAACTGAAAACCGGAACAATAAAAAAATAAGAAGTTGGACAAATCGAAAAATTAGAAAAAACGAAAATGCAAACAATTGAAAATAGTAAGGACTGAAAAATTCAAAAAGTGAAATAAGAAATCGAAAAATGTACTAAAAAAAAAACAAACATTGAAAATTTGAAACATTAAAAAATGAAAATTTGGCAAATCGGAAAAATGCATCATCGAAAAATTGAGAAACTGAACATTGCAAATTCAAGAAATGAAAATTCTTAAAATTAAAAAATAATGAATAATTGAAAAATCGAAATGTGAAAAAATCGGAAAATTGGAAAATAAAAAAAAAAACAGAAAAAGGAAGGATTGAAAAATTCACACTTTGAAATAAAACTCGAAGAATGTATTAAAAAAATAAAAATTTAAAAATCGGAAAAATTAAATTCAGAAAAATTGAAAAATTGAAAACTGAAAATTGAAAAATTAAAAAATAGAAAATGTGAAATACGGAGAAATCCAAAATCAAAAATTAAGCGATTGAAATTTTGATAAATTGAAAAAATTAAAAATTGAAATACTTTTAATCAGTTTCAAGTTCTACATCGAAAAAATGAAGTACGGAAAAACTGAACAAACAAAAATTGAGTAATCGAAAAATTGAAAAACTAACAAATAAATCGAAAACCTCATTCAAAAAATCGAAAAGATAAAAAATGGAATACTTGAAAAAAATAAAAAATAAAAAAAAGAAGTTAAAAAATAGAAAAACTGAATAATATAAAATTCGAAAAATAAATATTAAAAATTAAAAAGTCAGAAAATGTCCAAATACTGAAAATCCTAAATTAAAAAACTGAAAAATGGGATTACGAAAAATCAAATATTGATAACACGAAAAAATCAAGTAATTGAAAAATTGAAAGAATGAAAATCTGAAAACTGGAATAAAAAATCAAAAAAATGAAAAAATCGAAAAATCAAAAATTGAGAAATCAAAAAAATTAAAAAAAAATGAAAATTGGAACAATTGAGAAATCAAAAAATGAAAAAATTGAAAAACTAAAAACACAGAAAATTGGAAAAAGTAAAGATTGAAAAATTTAAAAACTGCATTAAAAAATCGAAAAATGTATAAAAAAAAACAAAAATTCAAAATTGGGAAAATTCAAAAATGAAAATTTGAAAAATTGGAAAAATTGAAAAATTAAGAAACTAAAAATTAAAAAAAATTTGAAATACGGACAAATCGAAAAATCAAAAATTAACTGATTGAAATTTTGACAAAATGAAAAAATAATTGAAACCTGAGAAAATTAAAAAAATGAAGAATCGAAAAATGGAATAATTAAAACTTAAAAAAATTTCAAAATCGAATAATTAAAAGTCGAAAAATCCAATGATTAAAATCCAAAAACTGAAAATCTGAAAAATCGAAAATTTTGAAAATCCAAAATTTAAGAAACCTAAATTATGATAGTTAAAAATTGAAAACTGTAAAAATTAAAATTTGGAAAAACTGAAAACCGGAACAATAAAAAAATAAGAAGTTGGACAAATCGAAAAAATCGAAAAAATAAAAAAAACGAGAATGCAAACAATTGGAAATAGAAAGGACTGAAAACTTCAAAAAGTGAATTAAGAAATCGAAAAATGTACTAAAAAAAAAACAAACATTGAACATTTGAAAAATTAAAAAATGAAAATTTGGCAAATCGGAAAAATGCAACATCGAAAAATTGAGAAACTGAACATTGCAAGTTCAAGAAATGAAAATTCTTAAAATTAAAAAATAGAAAATGTGAAATACGGAGAAATCGAAAAATCAACAATCAAGTGATAGAAATTTTGATAAATTGAAAAAATAATTGAAATCTGATAAAATTAAAGAACGGAAATTTCAAAAAACGGAATAAATGGAAGTCAAAAAATACAATGATCAAAAATTCAAAAATTGAAGATTTGAAAAATTTGAAAAATTGCAAATTGAAAAATCGAAAAATTTAAAATTACACAAAATTAAAACTGAGAATTCTAAAAATAAAAAATCGAAGTGAAATATTGAAAAACTGAACAATCAAAAATTGAAAGGATGAACATTTGAAAATTGGAAAAGAAAAATCAAAAAAATGGAAAATCTAAAAATTGAAAATTTTGAAAATCCAAACATTGATAAACTAAAATTATGATACTTGAAAATTGAAATCTCTAAAAATTAAAATGTCAAAAAAGTGAAAACCGGAAAAATCTAAAAGTGAAAGACGGAAAAACCAAAAATCTAAAGTTGAGAAATCGAAAAATTGAAAAGTGGACAAATCGAAAAAATAAAAAAAAATGAAAATTGGAAAAATCGAAAAATCAGAAAATGAAAAACTAAAAATATCAAACAATTGGAAAACTGAATTAAGAAATCGAAAAATGTACTAAAAAAAACAAAAATGAAAACTGATAACTGTCAAATTCTACAAGGAACGCGTTGATGTTGCCAACTATACACAATTTACATCTTTTTTAATATTTTTGTAAGTTTTGTGGAAAAAATGCAAGAGTCCCACAGCTGCACACACACTTCATTTGTTTCCATGAAATTGTACAAGACGCAAAATTTGTTATCTTATCAAATTTTATGGACAAGTCCTATAAAAAAATTTGAATTGTTTGATTAAATCTTATCACCATAAGATTTAAATAGCTGCCCTCGCACTTCATTCGTTATTTTCCATAGTGTTCTTTACCAAGATGAGGTACTTGTTCACCAAAAAGTTACAATCTTTCTTAACAATGTTTTAGGTTTCTTCAAGCCTTCTTTTTCGTCTTAACTCTACTGGGTACCACCCGACCTGAAGAAACCGCCACTGGGGTTGTGATAAGCAACGGCCCCGCTTGTGCCCAGATCGGTACTTCCATTTTAAAGAAAAACGGTACTGCCGTGGACGCAGCAATCGCTGCTCTGTTCTGCGAAGGAGTTTCAGTACCCAACTGCATGGGTCTCGGAGGGGGTTTTCTCATGAACATATATATAAAAGATGGGGGTAAGAGCGACTTCTTGATTGCTAGAGAAGTAGCACCGGAGAAAGCCAACGAGACGATGTTTGGGAAAGACGAAGATTCTGCGATCAGAGGGGGACTGGCGGTGGCGGTACCGGGAGAACTCAAGGGGTATTGGGAGGCTTACAATAAGTACGGAGGAGGAGTACCTTGGAAGGATCTGGTACAACCGACTATAGATTTGTGTAATGAGGGAATCCCGGTGACGAAGTACCTGGCGGCGGTTACCGATACCTACAAAGAAGACATAATGAAGGACGACATTCTTCGGTACGTAAGTCGTACCTTAAAACTAATTCCACAGTTCGACTTTTTAGGGGGATTTTTATCAAAGCAGCGACAAACCAAACGTATGCAGAAACCGAAAAAATCACTCGACCTCGTCTCGCTAAAACCTTGGAACTGATAGCTGAAAACGGCGCCGACGTCCTCTACAACGGTACTCTAACCTCAGACTTCGTCAAAGACATCCAAGCCAAAGGTGGAATCATCACTGAAGAAGACCTCCAAAATTACGCCCCTGTGTGGTCAACCCCCATCCCAATCCAACTCCCCTTCAACCAAACCCTCCACGCCACCCCTCTCCCAGGCTCCGGGCTTATCCTCGGGCTCATCATGACCATCCTCAGCGACTTCCTCGACCCCGCTGACCCCACCTCGGTCACCAACTGGCAACGCGTCATCGAGGCTTTCAAATTCGGCTTCGCCAAACGCACTGAACTCGGCGATCCCGATTTCGTCGACGTCACTGAGGTGAGTACCACTTGAACCGAACCCTTCTAAATAGTACTTGTAGATAGTCAACCAATTGACATCAACAACCTTTGCACAAGAACTCCGAGCCCTCATTTTTGACAACCAGACGTCTGAAGATCCAGGGTACTACGGAGCGAATGTGACGCAGCCGTTGGACCATGGTACCGCTAATTTGTGTGTGTTGGCACCCAATGGAGACGCGGTTTCCGTCACTAGTACCATCAACTACGAGTAGGTAGCGAAATTTGCTTGATTTGTCTAATTTTTGGTAGTTTTGGGGCTGGATTTGCGTCTGCGAGTACCGGGATTATTTTGAATGACCAAATGGATGATTTTTCGTCGCCGGGGTTTGATAATGTGTACGGGGTACCGCCGTCCCCCAGTAACTATATAGTACCAGGAAAGAGACCCATGTCGTCCATGAATCCCTCGATCGTGGTGGATGGCAATGGGGATGTTCGACTCGTGGTTGGTGGGTCTGGAGGTACCAAGATTATCACGACGGTGGCATCGGTACTACTTGTTTTTCGGTTGCTTGGGGGTTAATTTTGTCGTTTTAGATCATGATTAAGAATTTGTGGTTTAATTACACTGTTAAGGATGCTGTTGTTGATAAGAGGTTGCACCACCAGCTGTTTCCAATGCAAGTACTGTTGGAGGAAGGGTACTCACAGGATTTCATAGATGCTCTAATCGAGATTGGGCATAATGTGACCGAAGCGGGACCGGCTGATGGTTTTAATACCATAACCTCCATTTCTAGGGAGGGTGGTACTTTGTATGGTAGTTTTGATCCAAGGAGGGGGGGTGGCGAAGATTACGTCTATAGTACGACGGGTGGTACTTCAACGGTCACTGGAGTGTCTTATCAATTGTGGTTTTTATTTGTTTGTGTCATGTTTTATCAACAATATAGTGGCTAAAATATGCGATTGTGGTTTTATTTATAGGACTGAGGTTAATTTAGTGTGTTTAAATTTTGCGACGAATCAACAAAGCACTCAAAGGTGTTTGATAAAGTCGATGTTATTCAAGAATTTGGGAATGTTTCCATTGTTGATGCAATCAAACAGAACGATGACACTTTTAATCACGTTTTCCTATTTCAATTTCATGTTAAAAAAAATGTCTAGAAAAAGTTCTCAAAAAATTAAGAGATATAACCGAAAAACTGACTAAATTGGACGGTTTTGCAGATTTCGAAATTTTGGAAACTGGGAAATTGAATCGAAAAATTGAAAAATTAGGAAAATTATAATTTAAAAAACGGGAGAATGAAAAATGAATGAATTGAAAAACTAAAAATTCTACAAAATAAAAAATGGCGAAATTGAAACATTGGAAAATTGAGAATTGAACATTTGAGAATTGGAATAACTAAAAAATTAAAAAAAAAAAGAAAAAAGTGGAATTTCCGAAGGAACAGTCAAAAAGTATGAAATTAAAAATTGGAAACATTTTTGAAAAATTTTAAAAATTAAAAATTCAAAAATGGGAAAAATGGAAACACGGAAATATAAAAAAATAGGAATACGGAAAAATAGAAACATCCAAAATTGAGAAAACAATGGAACAATTGAAAGATCTGATAACTGAAGGGATGAAAATCAGAAAATTGGAATAGAAAATAGAAAAAATGGAAAAATCGAAAAACTGAAAATCTGAAACATCGAAAATTTGAAAATCCAAAATTTAAGAAACCAAAGTTATGAAAATTAAAAATTGAAAACTCTAAAAATTAAAATATCAAAAAAGTCAAAACTGGAAAAATCTAAAAGCGAAAAACTAAAAAACGAAAAAAGAAAATGAAAATTAGAACAATTGAGAAATCAGAAAATGAAAAAAATTGAAAAACTAAAAAATCAGAAAATAAGTAAGGACTGAAAAATTTAAAAACTGAATTAAAAAATCGAAAAATGCACAAAAAAAACAAAAACTGAAAACTCAGAAAATTCAAAAATGAAAATTTGAAAAATCGGAAAAGTGAAACATGGAAAAATTGAAAAATTAAGAAACTAAAAATTGAAAACTGAAGAAATGGAACTTCTAAAAATTAAATAAAAACTGGGAAATCAAATAACTGAACCTGAAAAAATGAAAGAACTGAAAATTCGAAAAATGGAATAATTAAAAATGAAAAAATTTCAAAATTGAATAATTAAAAAATTTAAATTTCGAAAAATTTTTAAAATTGCAAATTGAAAAATCGAAAAATTGAAAATCACATAAAATTAAACTTGAGAATTCTGTAGATAAAACACTCCAATTGAAATATTGAAAAATTGAAAAATCAAAAATTAAAACATTAGAAAATCGAAAATTGAAAATCTGAAAAATCGAGAATTTTGAAAATCCAAAATTTAAGAAACCAAAATTATGATAAGAATTCCAAAATCCAATTAAAAAGTCGAAAAATTTAAAAAATTGCAAATTGAAAAATCCAAAAATTCTAAAAATAAAAAATCGAAGTGAAATATTGAACACTCGAAAAATGAAAACTTGAAACAGGGATGAAAATCTGAAAATTGCAATAGAAAAATTAAAAAATGGAAAATCGAAAAATTGAAGATCTGAAAAACCTAAAATTATGAAAATCAAAAATTTAAGAAGTCAAAATTATGATAATTAAAAAATTGAAAACTCTAAAAATTAAAATATCGAAAAACTGGAAACCGGAAAAATTTAAAAGTGAAAAACGGAAATACCAAAAAAATCAAAAATTGGAAAATCGAAAAATTAAAAAGTGGGCAAATCGAATAAAAAATAAATAAATGAAAACAGAAAAATCAGAAAATGAAAAAATTGAAAAACTAAAAAAGTCAAAAAAAGGAGAAAGTAGGGATTGAAATATGTATTCAAAATTTGAATTAAAAAATCGGAAAAATGAAACATCGAAAAATTAAAAAACTGCGAAACTGAAAATTGAAAATCGAATAAATGAAAATTCTAAAAATTAAAAAATAGAAAATGTAAAATACGGAGAAATGGAAAAATCAAAAATTAGGCGATTGAAATTTTGACACATTGAAAAGATTAAAAATTCTCAAATGAAAAAATAGTTGAAACCTGAGAAATAATCCAATGATTAAAAATCCAAAAAATTGAAAATTTTAAATATTGAAAATTGAAAAATCGAAACATTGAATATCACATGAAATTAAAATTGAGAATTCTAAAAATAAAAATTCGAAAAATCAAAAATTGAAACAGAAAATTGAAACGATGAAAATTTGAAAATTCAAATAGAAAATTAAAAAAAATGGCAAAATCGAAAATCGATAAAAAAACCAAAATTATGATAATTAAAAACTGAAAACTCTAAAAATTAAAATATCGAAAAAGTGAAAACCGGAAAAATCTAAAAGTGAAAAACCGAAAAATCAAAAATTGAGAAATCGAAAAATTGAAAAGTGGACAAATCGAAAAAATAAAAAAATCAGAAAATGAAAAATTTGAAAAACCAAAAAATTGGAAAAAGTAAGAATTGAGAAATTGGAAAACTAATTTAAAAAATCGAAGAATGTATAAAAAAAAAAATTAAAAATTCGAAAAATTTGAAAACTGAAAATTTGAAAAATCGGAAAATGAAACATCGAAAAATTAAAAAAATTGAGAAACTGAAAATCGAAGGATTGAAAATTCAAAAAATTGAAAAATATAAAAAGGTGAAATACGAAAAAACCAAAAAATCAAAAATTAAAGATTGGAATTTTTATAAATCGAAAAATGAAATATGGAATTGAAATTCGAGAAAACTAAAGAACTGAGAATAAAAAAATGGAATAATTGAAAATAAAAAAATTCCAAAATCGAACAATTAATAAATCGAAAAATGCAATGATCAAAATTCCAAAAATCGAAAATTCGGAAAATTTAAAAGTTGCAAATTGAAATACTGAAAAATCGAAAAATCATAAATTTTAACATCAGAGAATTCAAGGGGTGAAAATTTGAAAATTGGAACAGAAAAATCAAAAAAATGAATAATCGAAAAATTGAAAATCTGAAAAATCGAAAATTTAAGAAACCAAAATTATGAAAATTAAAGTATCGATAAAGTGAACATCGGAAAAAATCTAAAAGTGAAAAATGGAAAAACTTGAGGAATTAAAAAATTGAAAAATGGACAAATCGAAAAAATCGATTAAGTAAAAAATAATGAAAATCGGAATAATTGAAAAATCATAATATGAAACAATTGGAAAATTAAAACATCAAATATTTGGAAAAATTAAGGTTTGAGAAATTCAAAAACTGAATTAAAAATCGGAAAATGTACTAAAAAATTCAAAAAATTGAAAAATCTGATAAAGAAAACATCGAAAAATTGAGAAACTGAAAATTGAAGAACTGAGAAATCGAAAAATCAAAAATTAACTGATTTAGGCTTCAATGATTTCATTTTTCAATTTTTAATTTTTTCAATTGATCAAAATTTCAATAGAAAATTCGAAAAATGGAGTAATTGAAATTAAAAAAAAATACAAAATCCAATAATTAAAAATACAAAAATTCGAAAATATAAAAATTAAAAAAATTGCAAATTGAGAAATCAAAAAATCCAAAAATCCAAAAATTTAAAATCACACAAAATTAAAACTGGGAATTCTAAAAATAGTGAAATATCGAAAAATCGAAAAATCAACAATTGAAACAGGGATGAAAAGCTCAAAATTGGAATAGAAAAATTAAAAAAATGGAATATCGAAAAATTGAAAATCTGAAAAACTGAAAAACCGAAGTCAAAATTATGATAACTAAAAAATTGAAAACTCTGAAAATACATCGAAAAAGCGAAAACCGGAAAAATTGAAAAATAAAAAATTGAGAAATCGAAAAATTGAAAAGAGGACTAATCGAAAAAATCGAAAAAAAAAAAATGAAAATTGGAATAATTGAAAAATCAGAAAATGAAAAAATTCAAAAACAAAAAAATCGAAAAATTGGAAAAATTAAAGATTGAAAAATTCAAAAACTGAATTAAAGAATCCAAAAATGTACTAAAAAATCACGATAATTGAAAATTCGAAAAATCAGAAAAATGAAACAGAAAAATGGAAAAATTGAGACACTAACAATTAAAAAATATAAAATGTGAAATACAGAGGAATCGAAAAAACCAAAATTAACTGATCGAAATTTTGATAAATTGAATAAATTAAAAATTGAAAAATAAAAAATAGTTCAAAATCTCTTATTTTTAAATACATAGTGGTATTTTTGAAAAAGTGCGATATTTCAATGGGCGATTCTGGAAAATCAGTTGGAGTTATCGAAGAAATGAGGCCGGAAGTGACTTCTGCGGTCCGAAATCTACAAGAAAATGTATTTAGTTAAATCGTCGAAAATAGGTCAAAATTTGCTTTGTGGAAAATTTTATTTTTGAAAAAGTCGTCTAAAAATGTTCAAAAAATTCAAGGTTATACATTTTCCGGATTTTTAATTTAATTTTCGAATTTTCCATTTTTCCAGTTTTCATGACATTTTATCACCAATATAATGTCTAAAAAATGCGATTGTTCTTTTATTTATCAGACTTTACTTAATTCCGGTGTGTGAAAAATTGTGCAACAAATCAACAAACCACTCAAATTTCCCTGATAAACCGAATTTAATCAAGCCGCTCAAAATGCAAAAACACTTCTGTGTAACGGAAAATTTTCGGAACATCCCATTGTTGATTTAATCAAACAGAATTACGATTCTTAATGTTTTTACAGTCTGACACTTTTAATACTCAAATATTTAAAAAAATTAGACACGTTTTCTTATCTCAGCTCTGTGTACACAAAACAAAATAACTGTATTTTCACGCAATAACGTTTTCGCATTTTAAATATTTTCCCTAAAAGCACTTTCGTGTCAGATTGAGTGCGTTCTCGAAATAATCATCGCTGCATTCGAATTTACAAAAGTAAGTTTAATTTTTATTTTTGAATAAACCTGATTCTATTTTTACAGATCAGATTTGTAATCTTGTCTTATCAGGTGGATCTGGTTTGTAAATCTCTTGGAGCCTGAGATAATATCTCATGATTGATAGCAGGGATTTTGAAGATGACGTAAATAATTAAATTATACAAAGTTTTAAACTGATTGTCCAGTTTATACCGAAAAATACTGGTAACAAGTTGGGATTTTTGAAAATGGAAACCAAGTAAGTGAGAATCGACTTTTGTATTTTTTTTAACGCGTTTTTTTTTTTTGTTTTAGACTTAAGCAATTCTCGAGACTGTTTATTTTTGCCATCGCTGCCATAATTGCCCTTTGTGTTATTGCGGGAATCGTTTATGGCGTTCAGTTCAGTGGTGGTGGTGAAGAGTGAATCGAATCTCCCTAGTGTAGAAAATAAATTTTACAATGAGGCACGGCCACGTGCCACTATCACACTATAGAGTAGCGGAAGTACCTCGATAAAGCAAGGTGTACCAACCAAGACATTAAAAATCCAGATCTTGAGAGTTTTTTTTCGAATTTTCCCTCTGTGTTGTATTTTCCAGCCCGCCTAATCCCCAGAACACCCTCCGTTTATCCCGCTTGCCTTTCCTCGGCAAATCCGCCACCTCGCACTTATTGGAAACAGTGTAAACCCCCACAAAGTGTCGGCGGCTTCAACGTCAAGTATAATTGAAAGAATCCTCAAATCTCCTTACCGACTGTCGTGAGCAGCGTGAGAGAGTATAAAAGCGCTCCGCCGAATGTCCAATGAGGCGCCCCAGGATTAGAGGCCCCGTCCGCCTTGCCGGCCTCCACCACGGCCCTCTCGAACCTCTTCAGCTGCTCGGTGACCAGCCGCGTCCAGTTCTTCTCGTACAGCACGTTCAGCCGCTCTGCAACAACAAACCCTAGTAATTTCCCTAATGGAGGCAGATTCGGCGGAATTAATTACCCGGATGTGCTACGTGATTACTCGAAAAAATGATCCGGAAGCGAAATTAATTAACGCAGAAATTAAGTGATGCTTATCTCGGAGGATTCATTCATTACGGCGTTGTTTCGTATTGCGGGGGAAATAAAATTTTTGTGGGACGTAAAAGTGGCGCAGTCGATAGTAAAATCGCGAGTTTACGCGGGAGCCAATAACGGGACGTGGAAGCGATCAAATCCATTATGATAAACAGCGAGTTAGGTCTGGGGGACCAGGTGGCGGCTTCTCGACAAATTAGCGACTGAGTGGTGAGGAAAACTCACGCGTTGGGCTCATATTTCAGCTATAGCGATAAGCCGTTCTAACTTAATTATATAGACTGCGTTATTTACGTGGCACGGAATTAATAAACCTAGATTTTTATATAGTCGAAACGAAATTCACGTACAATCGTACGCAAATGTTTTGAGCCTATGGGCGGATCATTTTTGCCTGTCGTCACCGAAGGAGGCGGTCCAAATCGTCCACGAGCAGAATTTGTAGGTAGGCTCAAACTACAACGAAATTTACGTGTTGACCAAATTCTTACCCTGAATTAGTTTTAATTTTATAAATACTTACTCTGAATTAGTTTTAATTTTATAAATACCTTAGATTTTTCAGTTTCCATTTTTCTATCAACTTTTCGATTTTATTCCTTTCCAATTTTCTGATTTTTCAAGTTTGCGGTATTTTGAATTTTCGAGTTTTCAGTTTTTTCGTTTTTCGATTTTTTAATTTTTCGTTTTTTTGATTTTTCGATGTTTCGATTTTTTGATTTGCCATTCTTTCAATTTTCGATTTTTCGTCTTTCCGTTTTTAGATTTTTGCATTTTTCGATTATATTTTACTTTCCGATTTTTTTGATTTTTGAATTCTCGATTTTTCAATTTTCCGGTTTTTTAATTCTTCTATTCTCGATTTTTCGATTTTCCATTAATCATTAAATTTTCCATTTTTCGGTTGTTTTATTTTTCGACCTTCGATTTTTCAACTTTCGATTATTCGATTTTCCATTTTCTGATTTTACGATTTTTCGATTTGCGATTTTTCGATTTTCGTTTTTCCGCTTTTGTGGTTTTTAGATTTTTCTGTTTGTTTCAGTTTTTATGGTTCTGCAATTTGTTTTATTTTTCCATTTTTCGATTATTTTACTTTCCGATAGTTTGATTTTTGAATTTTCGGTTTTTCCATTTTTCGATTTGGGATTTTTCAATTTTTCGGTTTTTTAATTTTTCATATTTCGATTTTCGATTTTTCAGATTTGTGGATTTGTGTCCGTTTTTTCGATTTTTAGAATATTGATTAATCGAATTTTCGATTTTTGAGCATTTCGATTTTTCGATTATCATTTTTACGATTTTTCAAAATCTCGATATTCGAGTTGTCGATTTTCCATTTTTCAAATTTTCAATTTTTAATTTTGCTTTTTTCGATTATTGCTTTTTAGAATTTTCCCTTCTTCAGCTTTTAGATTTCAATTTTGTTACTTTCCGATTTTTTTATTTTTTTTCGATCGTCGTTTTTTCGATTTCATTTTTCCGATTTTTTGATTTTTCAATTTTTAGGCCTTGCAATTTTTTTTACTTTTCGTTTTTTCGAGTATTTGTTTCATCGAATTTTCGAGTTTTCGATTTTCAATTTTTCGGTTTTTCCATTTTCCGATTTTCCATTTTTAGATATTTTTCGATTTTTTTTGATTTTTCGATTTTTCTGTTCGTCAGTTTTGAGACTTTGCAATTTTTACTTTTCCACTTTTCTATTATTTTAGTTTTGGATTATTCGATTTTTGAATTTTGTTTTTTTTTTCATTTTTCGATTTCCGATTTTTTAATTTACGATTTTTCGGTTTTTTAATTTGTCGATTCTCGATATTCCGATTTTCGATTTTTCGATTTTCCAATCTTCGATTTTTCAATTTCCAGTTTTCGATTTTCCACTTTTTGATTTTACGATTTTTCGATTTTTCTGTTCGTCAGTTTTTAGGCTTTGCAATTTGTTTACTTTTCGATTTTTCGATTATCTTACTTTCCAATTTTTTGATTTTTGAATTGGCGACTTTTAGAGTTTTCAATATTATGAATTTTCGAATTTTCGGTTTTTTGATTTTTCAATTCTCGGTTTTTCAATCTTGCAAAGTTTCGATTTTTCAGATTTGTGAATTTCCAGTTTTTCGATCGACCTACGTATTAGATTCATTGAATTTTCGATTTTCGGTTTTTCCATTTTTAGATTTTTGATTTTCCAGTTTTGTATTTTCAGATTTTCTGTTTTTCGCATATCTGATTTATCAAATTTTCGATTTTTCGGCTTTTCGATTTTTCGATATTTGATTTTCGAATTTTCGTTTGTTCAGTTTTCCATTTTTCAGCTTTTAGACTTCAATTTTTTTACTTTTCGATTTTCCAAATTTTCGAGTTTCAATTTTCAGATTTTTGATTTTTCGATTTTCTTTAAAAATCTTTGAATTTTTCGGTTTTCATTTTTCGAATTTTTGATTTTTAATTTTTCCATTCTTCGGTTTTTAGACTTCAATTTTCTTCCTTTTAAATTTTTCGATATTCTATTTTCCGCTTTTCAGAATTTTCGATTTTCAGTTTTCAGACTTTCGATGATTAGAATTTTGGATTTTTCAGTTTTATGATTTTTCGATTTTTAGAAAATTTGAGTAGTCGAATTTTCGATTTTTCAATTCATGGATTTTTCCATGTTCAATTTTTCAATTTAAATTTGTCCATTGTCGATTTTTATAATTTTCGGTTTTTCAATGTTTCTATTCTCAACTGTTAGACTTCAATTTTGTTACTTCCCGATTTTTTGGTTTTCGATTTTCCAATTTTCAGAATTTCCAAGTTTCTTTATTCAGATTTTCGATTTTCCACTTTTTCGATTTTAGATTTTTCGAATTTTTGTTTTTCCAATTTTTTGCTTTTTCGATTTTTCTGTTCATTTCAGTTTTTAGGCTTTTCAATTTTTTCTACTTCATATATATTGATTATTTTAATTTCCGATTTTTTTTAATTTTGTTTTTGATTTTATAATTTTCAATATTACTTTTCGATTTTTTGGTTTTCCCTTTTTTCAATTTTCGATTTTTCGATTTTTGAGGTTTGTGAATTTCCACTTTTCGATCGACCTAGGTATTTGATTCATTGAATTTTCGATTTTTTAATTAGCCATTTTATTTTTTTTAATTTTTACGATTCGTATTTTTCGATTTTCTGTTTTTTGCATTTGTGAATTTCATTTTTTCCGATTTTTGATTTTGCGCATTCAAATTTTCGAAAAAGTTACCACGCTTACAAAAACTTCAAAACATCTACAATATTTCAAAGTATTCAATTTTGCTATTCTTGATTTCTTCAATAAAATAAATTGACTCAGTCATTAACTTTTTTGAGACACCCTGTATAACCAAATCTAAAAGATATTAATGCAGTGATAAATCACAAGTATAAAAACTCATCATATTTTATACATTTAAGACACTCGACAATATCGTTTTTTTTTTTAATTATTTATTTATTATGAACATTTAAGAGTATTTTATTGGAAAAAGTGATGAAATTTTGTATACGGAACAATTGGTCGAAAGATGTTAGAAAGCAAAATAATTCCTGTCCGGACCATCGTTACTCACGAACGAAAGTGACCATTATTTTATGGGAACAACTACCTGCTAAATCTTCTCCGACAAATTTGAGAGAACTGGTGTGAGTCATAAATACTTCTTACCAAATGTAAATTTCGTTGTAGTTTGAGCCTACCTACAAATTCTGCCCTTGAAGGATTTGGACCGCCTTCTTCGGTGAGGGCAGGCAAAAACGATCCGCCCATAGGCTCAAAACATTTGCGTGCGATTGTACGTCGACGCTTAGTCAGGTTGTTTGGGAGTCAACCTGAATATCTTGTTAATGCAGAACAAGCGTTATCGTAATGTCATTATTGTGTCGGCTTCTTCCTAGGTAAATACCGCTAATTATTGTGCTCGCTTGGAGCACTAATTTATCGCAGCGCTGTCGATCTTGTCGCTTTAACTCTTTGAGTTTGAGTTTGAGTATCAACTGATTTAAAATTTTATGTTGTCGACTCTCAGACGTTTAATGATCGCTGCCAGATGGTCGGGATTTTAAGTGGTGTTATAAAGAACAGATGTTTACGATGGCGAGAATGTTTTAACTTTATCAAATCTCGCTAAAGTAAAGCCATTCGTCATTCTCAGAGCTGTTTTTGTATTCGGGTGCAGTGGCTATGTATGGGGGCTAAAAACGAAACGGTTTGTAATTGCAACTTTGTGTAGAGGGTGATTTATTCCGGTTTTTTCGCTTATTTGTGTGCGGAATCAATTTCCGCGCGCGATGGTTAATATCTGATTTCGGATTTCCTGAGGAAAGTTTTGTCGTTTCAGTTTTGGCGGGTTGTATGAAGTGGAACACGTGTCGATGATCTCTAGTTAATACTTCGTGAATAAGTAAAGAAGTCATGATTCTTCTATTCCAGTTTTAAAAACGCAAATTCCCCTAAAGTTTTATTAGATAGTTTTTGGCGCCAAAGCAATATCAAGTTGTAGAATCGAAGGTTTTCAGTCAATAACACGGAGACGTTTCGCCCACTTTCTTAACGAGATTCTTCAGGCAATGAAGGACAAGAATAACAATTATAAGAAAGTTTCTAGAAGTTCTAAGGATTCAAGAAATCCTAAAAATTGCGAAAATTCGAGAGACTCCAAGAAATTCAAAGTTTTAGAGTTTACCGGTTTCAGAAATTCATGATATTCTAAAAATTCTAGAGATTCTAGTGGTTTTAGAGCGTCCAGAGGTTCTGGGAGATTCTAGAGATGCTAAAGATTCCGGAAATTCTAATGGTTCTAAAGACTCCAAGAAATCCAACTCAAGCGGTTCCAGTAATTCTAACGATTAGAGA